GGAATTCTCTCGTTACCAAGCCCAAAATTTTACAAGCCCATTTAATTCGCCGCGATGAAATTACCTCGATTATATTACCCGGGTACAGTGCAATACGGCATTGTGTAACCGTCTGAACCGTCCGTCTAACTCATCCTTCTTCGATCCGAATATTCTACGCAATACTTAATTTTCAAAAATCTTAAGACGCTGCCCAGAACTTAATGTAAGCGGCCAAGTTTCTCATCCATAAAGAACTGTAGGTAAGATAATGATTTTATATATTCTAATTTCTAAGTTCCGGGACAAGAGGCGCGAACTAAGTAGTTTTGTCACAGAAAAATAACAAGCATTTTCCGCCTTCAGTCTAACCTTAATCTCTTCTCCAATTTCGTTTTTTCTGGTTATCGTAGAACCCAGAGACCTATATTTATTTTATATAACGTAAATAATCTATAACAACGATAATCTTTATGTGTGAATATCTCCTTAACAAAGAAGGAAATACCTTCAGAGGATTTTTTTTTTTTTTTTTTTTATGTCCTTAGTTTATTTTTGCAGTTTGGCAACTTAAACCTGAAACACACTGTATAAATATGTTATATTGTTCCTCTGACTTTTCTAAATATGAAAATACCTATTTTTTTTCAAGCTGGAGCGGTAAATAAAAGTTAAGAGATGCACAAACAGGTTTTTTCGTTAACAATAAGGAAAACCACTACCGAAATCTAACAAGTGTTATTAGACATAGCGCCGGAAGTTCGCATATCTCTTTTGGGGAACAATCAGACTCAATTTGTAGCTCGTGAGGCGTGTGTCATAGCGCTTCTCCTCCATCCTGGAAGCCATATTGTTATTCACGGGATATCGCTCGGAGAAAATAAAATTTATTAGGAGTTGCAGCCTGGAAGTTAGGGGCGCCACTACGTGACCCAAATACCACCCCCGGAGCTCCTTTGATCCCTCGTATTATTTGGTTTGCTAAGTAGCCTGCTCTCTAATCAACGCCCCCCTCCCTCCTCTACTTTTCGCTGGCTTTGTCCTAGGCTTCGGCCAAAGGCAACGTCCGTTCGTTCTTCCCCCCCCTCCCAAAAAAAAAAAAATATTCCTACTTAAGATGAATAAAATATGAAAAAAACTTTGAAAATACAGATTCTACACACAATCTAGACTAGATAATAGGAAAATTGAAGCAACCAGTGCTAAATATTGTAAACTTCTTAAATCTGTTAGAGTCGGAGAATTTATTAAAGATTAATATGTGAAGTAAGGAGGCTAAGTTTTATATAACATAATTTTTTTTTTAACCTACTTATTGAAAAATATTACAATCTGTCTCTAGGACATTTTTAATAGAGTTCCCAGATCACATTCACACTCTATGTACAATAAATAAAATAAACTATACAGAAAAATAATATATATATACAATAAATAAGAATAAAATAACTTAAAAATAAATAAATAAAAAGAACACATACACACCTATTTTTTTTTTTTTTTTTTTTTTTTGGTCCTTCCCTTCCTCGCCGTTAAGGCTATACGGGATTTTCCCGTGCCAGGGGGTGTGGGCGGGGATTTAAAAGACTCCCCCGGCACCGGGACGCGAACTCGTGACTATTTTTATATCTTTAATTCATATGTCAGTTTGCCAGGCAACGGCGGTGCAGTGCACACGCTTTAGCCCATTCGGCTACCCCGCCCACAAACATACACACCTATATACAATATTTACAATTTGGCGAGAGAACTCCAAACCAGACTTCTCCCTCCAACTGTGGAGGGAAAAGTATGACTCCAGGAGTTCCCTGCACTCCTCTCTCAACCGCGTCACTAGGGCTAAACCCAGTGGAGATTGAGCAAGAGTGCTTTAACCGCATACACTCATGTCGTGAGTGGAGAATCTGGCCATTGCCAGAACTCCAATATTCATAACTATAAAAGATCGCGGAGCCACTGCCGTTTTAATCTCCTTGGAGGATTATATGGATGGGTGGTGCTGGATAGAGATTGTGCAAAGGGATTTGGATGATGGGTAAGGTTCTGGTGGAATTTGGAAAATTTTTCTGGGATAGGGTCTAGGACAAATGGGATATTAAGGTCATGGTGTAGGGTTTTGTTGGTTACATAGAAAGGAGCATTGACTATTGTTCGAAGGACTTTCTATTGGAAGGATTGGATGCGTTTGATGTTAGCAAATTTTGCTGTTCCCCACAGTTATATAACATAATAATAATAATAAAAGGCTTAACGAACCCGAAGATTCGATGCCGACACCACCAATGGCTTATTACACACCTCCCTCCACCGTTCGCCGTCCAAACCCAGTCCCTTCAGACCGGCTTTAAAGCAATCTTCCCACCTTCGCTTAGGTCTTTTTTATTTTATTTTTTTTGTTGGATATCCTCCTACCCATCATTTCTAGCATACGGGGGCGTTGTTCTAGAGGCACAACCAAACCTAATCAAACCATAGCGGGAGGGTCGGTTTTATTAAGTGGTGCCGCCACGAAATAAAAGTCAACCACTCCCAGGCCGGATTCGAACTGGCACCGCTAGGCACGAGAATGCTAGACCGGGCAACACACTCGGCCACGACTTCTACCCTTCGCTTCGGTCTACCCCTCGGACGTTTACCATTCGGTACAGCAAATATTAACGTTTTAGCAATTCTCTCTTTAATAAGCCCAACAATTTTACAAGCCCATTCCATTCGCCGCGATGAAATTACCTCAATTATATTACCCGGGTACATTGCAAGCAATTCGTCCGGCTAACTCATTCTTCTTCAGTCCGAATATTCTACGCAATACTTTATTTTCAAAAACCTTAAGACGCTCCCCATAACTTTATGTAAGCGGCCACATTTGGCACCCATAAAGAACTTTATTTAACATACCAAATACATTTTATTTATTGGTAAAAAAATTAACAATAACAATAACCTTATTTTTTACCAAAATTATTTTGTCTATATTGATTCAGAAGCCCTAACTTTCCTATAGAACAATCCATTTTTCAGATATATTTCTAAACTAAAAGTTTATTATATCTTAAAATTTAATATATCTTAACATTTTTACGTTGTTTTTTTTTAGCGGATAATTTAATAATCTTTCTGATTATTATGGGCACAATTCAGAAACAATGCATACTTTTTGAGTTGTTCGCAAATAAAGTTTTATTTCCTTCATAACATTTTTTTCATAATGTATTTTTCTTTTTTCATTATTTTCTTTTCTTTTTATATTTTTCATAACCTATTAATATTTTTTTCATTACTTCATTTCCTTTATAGTATTTCAATCAACACATATATGTAATGAAATATTTAATTTTATGCTGATGCAATTATTTGACTAAAAATCGTTAGAAAAAAATTGTAAACATTTTACAGCTAATAAAAATATATATGGAGCTACTTAATGCATTCAATTAAATTTATCTGAATCTCAACTTAAAATTTAACAAATATATATTTTTTTATATACCCTATATCCTTCTACTGATTTATATATTATATATCAATTTTTAAAATCCTTCAGCAGTCCAAAGATATGTTATTCAAATACTAGTATTCTCCAATTTTCTTAAATTTATTTTCAACCTGCGAATCATCTTCTCCATTAGGTTTGCTATTGTCAATCATCAATTTCTTTATTTAGCCATTTCTTATTATTACTAATCCGCTAGAAAAATCGTGTTTGATATTTTTTATAATCGCAATGTTTTCATTTTCTATGGACTTACGCATTTGATATATGCATATTGAAAGTAAAAAACTTTTCTTCTATTTCTTCTTTTTTTTTTTTTTTAGTAAGGATTTTTCTTTAGTAATTGAATTAGTGCGATTGTGTGTTGAAATTCTCTAATAAAAAATACTTTATTTGTTTTTAAATTGCAAGAAAAGAGACAAAAAATCTGTTAAAAAGAACTAGTAAAACAATATGTAAAGACGTATAAACCAGACCTCTACTGATGTGTAATTAACGTTTATATTATATTTTAAACATCATAGGATATAATAATATTAACTTTGTTCATAATACATACCTGTGTAACGACCTAGCTTTAATATATGTTTTTTTTTCGAACTATAGTCGATGCACCTTTCTATGCAACCAACAAAATCCTACATCATGACCTCAACATCCCATTTGTTCTAGACCTTATCCCAGAAAAATTCTCCAAATTTCACCAGAACCTTACTTAACACCCAAATCCTCTTGCACAATCCCTATCAAGCACCTCACATCCCTATAATCCTCCAAGAAGGTTGAACGGCAGTGGCCTTGCGACCTTTTGTAGATTGTATATATTGGAGTTCTGGCAATGGCCAGATTCTCCACTCAAGACATGAATGTATGTGGCTAAAGTGCTCTCGATCAATCTTGGCTGGTTCTCCTGGAGTTCCCTCGCCTGATTGTATATAGGAATGCATGTGTTTTTTTTTTAGTTTTAATTTTCTTATTTTTTAGTTTATTTTATTTTATTATATATTCTATATACTTTTGATTATTATTTTGCTTCTATTTTATATTTTTTTGTACATATAGTGTGAATGTCATCCTACTTCACTATGACCAATGTCCAAGAGATAGATTGTTGTAATACTCAATAAATAAATAAAAAAAAATAAAAAAAATATATGTTTAGAAATAAACAGTCTTTTTTTTTCGGAAAGCACCACTACTCACTATCTTAATTGCAACTATATTAACACAATAAATGGATTAGGGCTTATCTTGTCTTTTATCTAACTGTGATAGGCACTTGTTAATGTTATATGAATTTCGTGTATCCTATTTGGGAAGTCACAATATACCATTGCTTTTTCCAGTCTTCAGGCACAATATTTTAACATTTTGACATACGTAGATTCATATGGTATGTTTCAATTTATCAAACCTTATTTAAAATTACTATAAGTTTTGTTTTTCACTTTTACAACAAAACAGTTAATTAGCAATCAGTAAAAAACAAGTATGTTTATCCCATCTTTTGTCATAGTTGTTAGTACAAGTGTTTTCAAGCAGTTGTTCGTGAGATTGTATAAACTTTGAAATATTATCAGTATTGGACCGAGTTTCATACCGTTCTCACTCGTCAGGTTAGTTATGTATTTTAGAAATTTATTAGATACATTTTGAAAGGATATTTGTATAACATATTAATACATATATGAGTATATATATTTTTTCGAAGAGAAGAATGGTTGGTGTGATCGGTCCAAAAAAATAAAAAATAAATTGTAAAAATATAATTATTTTACTTTTTACTTTTTTTTTTTTTGACTGGTCACACCAACCATTCTTCTCTTTAATTATTCTCTACACTCAACCATCAATCCACAATTATATATTTTTTTCTTGATAATTTAACCAACTTATTATTTTTTTTTCTCTAAGTAGCTAAATTACCTTAGTCAACATAAACTGAAGATATTTTTATCATTGCTTACTTTGTACCTCCTTTTTTTATATTTTTAACTTATATAATTTAAAACATTAATCAAACTAAAAAAAAATTAAATAATCACAATCCCAAATTTTAGTGAAAATATGTATATTTTTACTACATTCTCATATGACTGAGCTATTCCATACTTTTAAACCAAGTTGGTACCATATTTATTACATATTTGCTACAAACTTTTCACCTAAAAAATTTCAGTACTATAATCAAAGTTACATTATTATATCCTATGATGTTTACAATATAATATAAACGTTAATTACCCATCAGTAGAGGTCTGTTTTATACGTATTTACATATTATTTTACTGGCTCTTTTTCAACAGTTTTTTTTTTCACTTTTCGAGCAATTTAAAAACAAATGAAGTATCTTATACATCATATATGGAGAATTTCAACACATAATCGCACTTATTGAATTCATAAAGAAATATCTTTACTAAAATAAAAAAATAACGAGAAATAGAATGAAAGTTTTTTCCTTCAATTATCCATATATGAAATATATATGTCCGTAAAAAAAGAAATCATTGAGATTGTGAAAAATTTCAATTATGGTTTTTACAATGGAAATATCGATTTTACGTATCTTTACAATTTTCCCGTAAATGGCTGAAACAATTTTATTAAACTCATTATGATAATGAACAAGTCAGTGGTTTTTAACGTCAGGTAGTTCTTATCCACATTGAAATGTTTCCTTTAATATGTTTTATTTAAAATAATTAACAGGTTCTGAGGATTAGTAATAATAAGAAATGGCTAAATAAAAGTAGTGGAAACAATTGATGATTAACAATAGCAAAACTAATGGAGAAGATGTTTCCCGGGTTGAAAAGAATTTTAAGAAAATTAGAGTATACAAGCATATGAATAAAATATCTTTGGACTGCTAAAGGCTTTTAAAAATTCATATATACTATATTTAAATAATATATAAATCTTTAGAAGGTTATTATTATTATATGATGTGTGACGGAAAAATTATGAATAGTAATTCCTTAAAAATAATATTATTTATCAAAACTCAAATATTTTTCATATTAACTAAATTAAATATCCGAACTAAATCATCATTATACATTTTTAAAATTTTCTCAAAAATGGCCTTAAAAGATTTTGAATAAACTTAAATAGTGAGTCGCACTGTGTGACTGGTCCGTAATACCAAAAATGTGGCTGAGAGTGAGAGGCGCTGGGATCTTCTAGAGTCCTACCTTTCCTTACACGAGTGGGGAGAAAGGCTTGGAGATCTTGAGTGAATGTTGTTTTATTTTATTTTTTTAAATATTGTATAGAAGCGTGTGTATAGAAGCGTAGTTATTTTTATTAGTTTATTTTATTTTTATTTCTTTTATTTTATTTTAGTGTATGTACATTTACGTTTAGTATTATTGTTTTTCTGTATTATTTATTCGTATTTATTGTTAATAAAGTGTGAATGTGTTCTCTGAACCCTATTATAAATGTCCTTCATTGTGACAGATTGTAATATCTCTCAATAAATATGTTTAAAAAAAAATGAAAATAAATAATTATCTAAAGGGAACCATTAGCAGAAATATTTTCGCAGGTTGGAAACAAATTATTGGAAATAAGAGTACAAATGTATAGCATTTTCACGACTATTGTGACTATTTCCATTTCAAATTTAACCCTTATTTATTTTTAATTTATTTATTTTTTATTTTAGTTCTAGTGGCTATAGGGAAGCGATGCTGAATATCACAAATTTCATTTAATATCCTTTCTTCTGGATATTTCCAGATTTTTTGTGATTTCATGGCTTTCACGTGTAAACATTAACTAACATAAAGTGAACTAAAGGAATTTTTACTGAAGCTAAATCTTGAACAATATATTTTTGAATTTTTATCGTATTCATCAATACAAGAACTCAAAATCATCAAAATAACATAAGCCCTATTTATTATATCCATTATAGGCAATTAGAAACCTCATCAGTCGATTTGAACCATATAACTCCAGTCTCTGAGCTCTATAGGCAAAAAGAGATAAATGTATTTAATTATGAATAAGCAATGTCATACGACACAGTAAAAAATATAGGAATTAAATCTCTATTACTTGTTACATGTATTTACCATGTATATTTTTCAAGTTAGATAAAATTGTCTCTGGAAATCCACCATTTGCATAAATGTCCTAACGGTATAAAAGAAAATTAATTATTCTAAAGTCAACTGATCCTTTATTCTAGAGAAAGAGTTTGTACAATTTGTTCTATTTTATAAATTTATGTATGGTAATGTATACTAACATATGATAAATAAGATCAGTGTTTTGATAGTTTATATATAACTCTATCAATGTAAAATTTATTGACAAACATTGTTTAAATTATAAGAGAAAACAATATGCAAATATGAATAATCAAATCAGCTGATATTCACACATCATTATTTGGAACTCATACCGTACCATCATATCGTACCATATCATAAATAATTTTATTATTTATCACATGAGTGATTAATTATTAATCTTGACACTCTTTTATCATTGATTTTAGAGATTAGGACTCCTTGAAATATTTATTGTTTTCAATAACCTTTTTTTCTTTTGTTGTATTTCGGGTTGCTTAATAAAAACAAAAATAATTACTATATACTATAATTAGTAAAAATGCTGATTGAAAGCACTTGCAGCTTATCCGCGGCATAATTGATATTATATTTGAATTTGAACTGTACTATACTTACATTCGTTTTATTTATAATCTCATATTTCCAAAGTGAAGTCTAATCCAGTTTTATGGAAATTAAGATAAGTATCGATTCCCATATAAAACACCCAATGAATCCCATGGATCGATTATTTATTTTAATGAAATTTACAACTGTATTACATGGAAAATACAACAAGTAAATGTGACATTGGTAACATGACAAAGCTCAATTCCGTAAGTCCAAATAGGTCTTATTATTGTCATATATATGAGTCGTTTGTAATTGATTGTAAGCTTAGAGCGTTTGTCTAGTAAGTGCTGCAGTAGTTGAAAACGTCGGGCGGTTTCTAGTCTTTTCGGTCTGGTAGGAGGGTCAAAAATGAACCTAAATATTAAAAGTAGAGGTGATAAAGTAAGTTCGTTTCCAAAACCGACTTCTTTTTTTCAAGCAATGTAATTAAACTTTTATTTCTCAAGCATTCTAAAAAAAGAAAATCATTAAAAGTTATTTCAACATTTTTATTCAAATCAAAATTAAAATAAATTTATTTTATTGTAACACAATTGTAAACAAAAACATAATTGTTTATAGTATTTTTTTTTTTCATCCCTCGTAATTCACCATTTTTTCTTTTCAAAACAAACCCGATGAACTTTCTTTTTGTTCCAAAACGTGTCCTGCAATTTATTTCTTTGCAAAGAGGAACTCTATTCAAGTTAATTACTAGGTGAATAATCATCAATTTTCGGAAATATGCTTTAACTTATTTAACCCGCTTATTTAATTTAAACTACGTGGCTACGACTGACATACCCATCAGGAGGAGACTAAAAAGGAGCTGGATGAGAGATCTCCTCGCCTAAATCAAGGAAGTAAATAATGACCAGGAAGAGGTGCTGCTGGGTACTATCCTTCCTCATGAGTATAATGCCGTTTCTCATTATCACAACACATCTGCTGATTGTCAACACCATGACAGCTGCGGATAAATAGTTGAAGAGAAAAAAAACTTATTTTTAAAACAATATTGGTTTTGGTATTGCATTTGGAATAAAATAGTTTTACGTTTTTCTTGATAATTATCAATATTGATAAGGTTTAACTTTGAAAATAAACGACTCACCAGATACTGGAATTGTTTGAATCTAAGTAGGCGAAAATTAAGGTCTCAGTAAAAAGAAAATCTATTTATTTGTAAATCTCAAGATATACAACCATGTATCCGATACATGCTTCACCGCTTTTGGGACAATAAGGGCCAAACTAAGGAGGGAAACCTCATCGATTTCTCTCAGTTAGTATGTAAGTACAACTACACGTGCTACGGTAGCTTCCGTAGACGAATGATAGGAATAAATGGCAGTTAATGATTTTAACCCAATTCAATGAAAAGGAATTGTCGAAAAATTGGAAAATCGAAGAATTTTTAAAAGAAAATGTTAAAGGAGCGCAGAGCAATAAATAAATATAGTGATATCCATTCATATTTGTTAGAATTGATCAACTATTGATTAAAACTTTATTAGAAATTTATAAAAAATTTGTTAATAGCCTGATTATTTTGTTTTGTAATTTAATTTAGTTTCGAAATTTAAAAAGAAATAGAACAATCCTGAATTAAAATTTACATCTTATTAGAAAAATTAAGAAAAAAGTTGAATTTATAAGATCACACATGTTCTTTGGGTTTTATTTTATATAATGGTAGGGTTTTGATGGTTAAATTGTAATAAATCTGTTCAAAAGTTTAGCACTTCAATTTGAGATATTTATTGTTTTTAAAATCTGTCGCTACTCAATTATAATGACATTTATCTTATCTTTTAAAAATATTATAATGAGTAAATTGTATTCAGAAGGTTTCAAAAATAAAATAAAATAAAATCAGAAAACCAGTCTTATTTAGTATATTATTTTAGGATTTAAAGATTCATATTCATAAATTAAAAAAGAATCAAGAATTTCAAAAAAATATTGAATTATGGAAATAAAAAAGTTGTAAACATGTACTTAATAAGTTATTAGGATTTGGATGTGCTTATTCATGTGTTAAAATATATAATATTTGTTTTTGCCTTTATTTGTATTGATATATTTTGTTGAAATGTAACTGTATCATTATTATTTAAATACATATAATTATGAGAAAGTCATTCAGATTGATTTAAAAATAAAAAATAAATTTTACCAATTAACCAATATATCGTTTAGTAAAAACACTATTAATTTTTAACTGAAATATTTTTAAATTGAATGCAACTATTTAAATGAATAAAACTCTAAAAAAATAATGCATTTTAGGGGATTATAATTCCAAGTATCTATATATTTAGTTAGTGGAAATTGGTTTTGGTTAGGACAGGAACTAGAAAATAATATTAAAAGATTTAGAGCTAATCCTAAAACCTGACTTTAACATTCGATTCAGTTCCGCAATGATTATGAACCATATTAAAACCATTATAAGGAAATATTAAGGTGAAAAAAACATGTTCAGTGAATCGAGAGCTTCATCCTATTCTGCCTTCCAGTATATTTACTTCAGTCATATTTACATAGCATATTCTTTGCAACTCAGCACAATGTGCAGAAAATGTATCAAACTCTGGACCAAATATTCAACTAGTCTAGTTTATTAATTCCTGAAATATTCGTTACTTTCGCTTCCATAAACAATATTAAAACATATTATAATCTTACAGACTATAACTATAAAGTTGTGGATTGATGGTAGCTGTAGTGAGTAATTGATAACAAAAATAGTTTGTGTGATAAGTAAAAAAAATAATTTTTTTAATAAAATACATCAAATTATTTTTCATAACTGTTCGCCCCAATTATTCTTCTCTTCAATTATTATTTTAAATTTGCATTTAGAAATCTCCAAAAATATGGGAAACACAAATATTGAAATGGTTGTTTCTCTATGCCAGTTTTTTTTTTCAAACGTTTTCCTGCTGCTGTGAGTAACAAGATAATTTTTAAGTCTAGTTTAACGCTAATGTTGGTATTAATGTAGTTAGATAATTGAATTTCCTATAGTTTGCGATTTGTCTTAAGGCATCTAGATATATATATGGAAAACTATTCTATTACGTAATTCTATTTAATACTAGCAAAGATTTTACCAATTGTTTTAAAATAATTTTTGTTTTTATTTTTTCCAGGTTTTGCGGTTTGCAGATAAATTCCTGACCGTCAATAAAATGATGGAGAAAAAAATCTTTTTTGTTCTTGCTGTAATATTTGCCTGCATCTCCAGTAATGCAGCATTCACTCAGAGCAGAGCCGGAGAGGACGGTTCCAACTGGATGAAGAATAACATTGGTCTCTTGGGCAGAAGAACATTGAAGCAGATATGTATTCCAGGATCACACGATTCCGGGATGAGCGTATATAATAAAGGTACGGCTTTGGCACATCCTTGCAATGTCTTAACACAGAGTGTTCCGATTAGAAACCAGTTGGAGTTCGGCGCGAGGTACTTCGACGTACGCCCTGTGCTGGAAAAAGGAGAATTCCTCACAGGACATTACAGCAAGCTACCAGGAGGTAACTATCAGGGAGGAAACGGACAATCCATCAAGTCCATTCTGGACGAAATCAACAAGTTCATCGCGAGTCATAACGAACTTGTCCTCGTCCGGTTGTCGAAGAGTCTCAACACTGAAAAAAGTCGTCCATTCGACAGTCAAGAATGGGAAAGGCTCTTCCAAGTGCTGGACAATACCAAAAACTTGTTCTATACATCCAATGGGAATATTTATTTGCCTGGAGTAACATTAGATCAATTCACGAACAAGGGAAAGAAAGGAGCCGTCCTTTATATAATCAACGAAGCCGGAGTCAACCTGGGTTCGAGGCTTGGCAAAGGGTACTTTTACTACTCCAATCTCGACCCGTACAGCAAGTATAGCAACACGCACAGTCTTCAAACGATGATGAAGGATCAGATTAACAAGATGAAGGATGCTTCCAGAAACAGCTACTTCTTGTTGTCTTGGACCCTGACTCAAGGAGGCAAGAACGCAGGGCTCTGTAGAGTCAAATTGGGAAAGAGCATCAAAGACCTTTCTGCTGAAGCCAACAGCAAGCTGTGGGACATCGTTCAAGAGGTCAGCCAGCATGCTTTCCCCAACATCTTATACGTAGACGATATCAGGGACACGAGTGTTGTCAATGTAGTTATGGAAATCAATAAGAGACTTAATGCATAATTTATTGTTGTTTTATGTAAGCCAATGTGATTACAATAAATGTATGTTCAACCTGTATTGATACATTTTCCCTGTTATGAATGAAAATCAAGGAGTTGGACGTCAAAGCGACCTGGACTTTTTTGAAGAGATAACTTCTTTAGGCGCGTTTTACAATTTTTTGCAGAGAGTGAATTAGATTGGTCAGTCAGATTTCCGAAGGTAATAATTGACGCTCGGGTAAAGTCGGATGTAGTCGACTAATTGAAATATTTTTACATATGGATTTAAATATCTCAGTAACTAAAGCCTGTATAATATAAGAGTGAAAATTGTTCAGCATTTCATCCTATCTGTAATAGGCTATAATACAATATCGTATCTTAATGTTACTGCGTCTTAAGGAGGCAAAGAGAAAAAAATTAGTCTCGATAACCAATTGATAACAAATTTAGTTGAACATATGGATTAATATATTTAAGTTGGATCTGAATTAACAGACCCTACAAGGTAATTCTTGAATGAACGTCACAAGAAATTCCAAGATTGCCCGCTATCGCTTTGATCATGAAGACCCTTACACGTTCAATCATTGCTGATCATTACTTACCATTGTTGATTTAGGTTAGATCGTTGCTGACCAATTTATCGCTGTTGTAAACAAAGAAACAGCATAGATATGCTTATTTGGACATTGTCATTTATTATTATTGTGCATCAAGAGAAAAACGGAGATATAATAATTACTTCCTAGTGCCTGAAAATCGTTTAGACCAAAGTTAGAAAAATATAAGTCAACTAGATACAAAAATCTAGAAAAAGTACTGCGAAAATAATCAATTTGTTAAGAAAAATTAATGGCAAATAAACACAACAGTTAAAGATTTTTTTTCTATAAGAAAATTGTGAAGTTTCCACTTTTTTTTTCTCTTCAATTTATTGCCTACTTGACTATTTAAAAAAAAATAGTTGAAAATGGTTAATAACAATATAGACTTGGGATATAAACAACTATTTACTTTTATGAAATTATTTACTTAATACCGAGACCTAGGTAAACTAACCTATCTAGTAGTAGTCTCATAGAAAATCGTTTTGACAAAAGTTAGTAAAATATAAGTCTACTACTTACAAAAATTAAGGAAAGGTATTGCGAAAATAATAAATTTGTTGAGGAAAATGGGAAAAGAGCTGATAAATATACACAACGTTAAAGTTTTTTTTTTTTCTTAAAGTAAATTGTGAAGTTTCCTCATTTTTTTTTTAATTTATTGCCCACTTGACTATTTAAAAGAAATAGTTGAAGATGGTTTAAAATTATAAACAAGGGATATGAAAAATTGTTTACTATTTACATATAATGAAATTTATAATGGTTGTGAGGCCTAGGTAACCTAACCTATCCAGCAGTATGGTTAGTCTCCCCACTACTTTTACCTCAGCCCCCCCTCCACTTCTCGTGAATGAACCTTTGGTTTCCGGATGTTCGGAAATCCGCAGCGCACCACCATCAGTACTTCATTCACCAGCTTACACGACAATTCGGAACGTCATTAGTGCAATTCCGATTGACCGTGTAGGGTCCCCTTTACTGTTAGTGAGGAAATTGTTCAGCGTTTCATCCTCTCTGTAATAGTATATAACACAAAATCGTGTCATAACGCTACGGCGTGTTAAGGAGCCAAAACAGGAAAAAAATAGTGTCGATAACTAATTGATAACAAATTTAGTTGAACATATGGATTAAAATATTTAAGTCGGACTTGAATACTGTAAGTGAGGGAAATGTTCAGCATTCCATCCTCTTTATAATGAACTATTATTTATAACTTATATTTCATTTTATCAATCTTGCCTTGTTCATGTTATCACTTCTATCGTGTGGTCTAAAGCACTCACCCTAGTTTTTTTTTTTTTTTTTTTTGTTTCCTCACCAACGAAGTAAAGGAAGCATTGTATTCGTGCGAGAAGTTACAAAAAAAATTGTTCTCAGAAAGGAAAATTTTCACTAGCGTTTTACGTTTCAGACATCAAGAATCAAATTTGGTTCTGTCTGTCTGTAGTCAAATCGATGTAACATTTCACCTACACTGTTTATCCGATTATCATGAAATTTTCAGGGATTGTGCGGGTTAGGGTCTAGATGGTCTCATATCAATTTTATCGAATTCTAACCAGTACTTTCACTTACGCACGCACAAACGCATTTTCGTAGATATGCCAACCGTTCAGAAATGGCTAGTTCGATTTGGCTCAAAGTTCAATAAAAGGTAGGTATTTGTGAGAAAATAATGTAGGGTCAATGTGATAGAATTATGTCTATTATGTCTATTACTTTATCTTATATATGCGCAAACGTATTTTCCTTCATACGTCTATATCTCTAAAACCGCAAGTTCAATTTGGCTCAAAATTGGAGGGAATTTAGCGATTAGACAAAGTAAAAAGAAATAACTATCAATTTTAATCAAAAAAAAAAAACCTTCCGCTTTCAGATTAGGAAATGTGTTTTTTTGATTTGCCTATAGTTTGAAAACGGCGCATTCAATTTCACCGAAACGTGGAGAAAATTTGGAAAACAGTATAGAAATTATTTTTTATCAATTTCATTTAATAATTAAAATTAATATAAATATTTATGAACAATGTAATGGTTATGAAATGTGGAAGGCACTGATCTTATGAAGTTGGAGTTATGTTATTACAATATTATTATGGGGTTATAAAATTTTAGGTTTTATTCAAAAAATTTATTTATACTGTATTGTTTAGTCGATTCCAGACGTTACTGGAATGGCACTTACTGCCGTTAAATTTATTGGGGCTAGAGTGAAGTCACGCAGGCACAGCAGTGCCCACGAGCTCTAGATTGGGAACTCTTGAATGAACAATATAAACTAGATGGCCAGTGCGATCGTAATTGGTCAGTGAACAATTGAAGATATAATATAGAAATAAGTCAATAAAATGTACTATGAGATGAAGGATATAATATTCTATTTCTCAGTCGAATCACATTAGTTAATTCATAATAATAAATTTAAAAAAGTACATTACTAGATGTTCTATTCTTAGTGATAATTGTCCGATCTTGACGATTTTTTTTGTTTTGTGTGAAATTTAGAAATATTTTGAATAATGTATACTTTTTGAGTTATTTGCAAATAATGTTTATTTTCTATCATAATGTTTTTCCTAATATTTCGGAAGAATGTAACTATAATTCATTTTTTCTCCATGAAATTCCCTTTCGTTTTATATTTCATTCATTAAAATCTGTCGTTCCTGAGAGCCGGAAAAGGAAGCTACACTGCGAAACATTACTGTGTTGTATTTAATAATAAATAATGTAAGAGCTATGAATTGAATTATACAAGTAACAATACATGTAAGTGCAACAAATACAAGTTGAGTCTTTTAAAGGGATTTAAAAGACTCCCTCGACGCCGGGACGCGAACTCGTGATTATTTTTATATCATTTGTGCGTGTGTGTGTGTGTGTGTGTGTGTGTGTGTGTGTGTGTCACAAACGAAAAGTCGTTCAAAAATGAAATTGCATATTTGAGGATTTCATATGCTAGTGATGTTACAGCAACTTTTTCGTCAAAATCAGATAACCGAAAGTGGACTAAATACATTTTTATGATTTCCCGATTTCGATCAAATTCATCATGTCAGCGTAAAATTAAGCAGTTTTAAACAAAATGTAGTTTTTATTCTGGTTGATGTTCTCTAGCAGGACTTGAATGGCTAATTTTCAATATTAGGTTCAACTAAAGACCTTTATATTTTATTATTTGAACCAATTTACCGTTTCACATTAATCTATGATATAAAAGATAGCTAAATTTGAAATATGAAAGAATTTTATAATTAACTAAAGGAGATATTAGAGATCGTAACGCAGAATAATTGTAATTGAGGAACCAAAGGAATACGAGCTCATCCAAGCTCGCCCGAAAGATTAGAGCACGCTTCCATAAGTATCATGAGCTTAATATAATAAGGACTGCGACAATATTATGTAAATATACATATATAATATAATAAATATGTAAATCTAGCATTTATAAATTTTATTTTCACTACCTCTTTGTCTGAAAATACTTATTTCTGTTAAGAAGAGAGCGGTAAGTGAAAGTTATTGTGATACGCACACAGCACCCGATTTTAAAAATTAAAATATTAGGCAAAGTTAAAAAATACTTCTTTTACTATTGGTACAACAAACTCATGTAGCTGCGCCTAGATAACATTCTCAAAAAGCCTTAACTACTCTGCTCTATTTTCTGCCACATTGATATTTGTTCCCGGATTTCGGAGGTCACCGAATTCTATTGTTCTGCCATTGTTGGCAATCTAGATAAATATCTAGATTGGGTACCATCTACGTCTTCATACTTCATACTTCATCTACCTCTCGGGTGCAACCCTTCTGGATCATGAATGTACAGTATTCTGCAGTACCTGTAAGCGTATTGCAAAACCTATATTACTGGTCCTGCCCAGCAACATTCATAATTAATTAGAGACAAATATGCTTTATTTAATTTAATTAATCTAGCTATGTACTGTAAGGGAATCTTTCTCGACGTTGAACAGGCGTTTGATAGAGTTTGGTATCCGGGACTACTGTACAAACTCCAAAAATTCCTACCACCTACATATTTCCTCATTATCCGTTCCTATCCTACTGATAGATACTTTAAAGTTAATCACAAAAACGCCTATTTATCCCTTTTTTCCCAGTCCGCTGGTGTTCCTCAAGGTAGTATCCTAGGCCCTATCCTCTATAAAGTTTATACAGCTGACATCCCTACCTATCCCAACACTGTCATTACAACATATGCCGATGACACATGTATCCTATCAGTAAATAATGACCCAGCAATTGCATCCCAAACGCTTCAATCACACATCATAAATCTAGAAGAATGGTGTCAAAACTGGAGAATTAAAATAAACTCAAATAAATCCCACCAAATTACCTTTACCCTTCGTCGTATACCAACAACTTCCTGTCCTACAGTTTCC